TTTTTCTTAAATCTGATTCATTATTATTAATATATCATTTTCGCGCTTCCAATTTTCGTGGAGTAGTTCACGATTAATTCCTAAACCGGCAACGCCACATTTCCCCATAAACAATGATTTATTGTACAACTGGCAACGCCGAACCTGCCATGCTGGCATGTATTCACATTTGACAGATGCAGTCTTATGAGTCTAGTGTTTACAGTGTCCTTCTTCAACCAATAGATAGTTCAGCTAGTGACTCATAGGTGGCGCCAGTGTGGTGTACTCGCGACGATGCATCTGGGTCATGTGACAATTTGGAGCGCTCTGATTGGACTCTGCCGTACGCGTGACCTTGAAAGGAACCAAAAACGCCAGAATGGACCTTAGCCGTTTTCCATGTTAATCTCCATAAGGAATGGGCCAGAACCGGCCTAGTACCTTTACTGAGCTTCTTAAATGAAAGGAAGTTTTAAAGGTGTGCAGGCAGTAATTCGTGAATCACATCCAGAATCCTTATATGTTCATTGTGGCTCACACATTCATTGAATTTAGCTCTGAGTCATTATTGCCAAGTTCAGCCTATTCGGAATACTATTGGAATTATAAAATCCGTTGGAAATTTCATCAAGTCCTCGGCAAAACGAAACAAGTGTTCGAAAGAAAATATTGAAAAAAACTTTCCCGAAACACAATAGAAAAACCTTACGGCAATGTGCGAGACCCGTTGGGTTGAAAATCATGATGGGTTCAAGGAAATCTGTAAAGCTATTATTGATACACTAGACGACTTAAGTACTGACATGGATTGTGAAACATCGTCAAAGGTTAATTCTTTTCTGAGATCATTCACTTCAAGTGATTTTGTTATAAGCTTATGTTGCTTAGGAATGTTGTTCTCCATACACACTGACACTATGCAAAATACTTCAATCTCCCATTTGCGATTTGGTAGCGGCTTTACAACATGTCGATTTAATCATGAAGACTATATTGAAGTAGTTCGCCAAAATATTGATTCAAAATTTGCCAAACTTTTCCAGAATTTGCTCTGTACTGTAAACGAAGAAATTAAAATTCCTCGAATAACGTCACGCCAAGAGCATAGGGCGAACTACGACACAAAAGATCCTGAAACTTATTTTAGAGGAGTTAGTATAATGATTTCACTTTTGGATGATTTCATTGATATCAGTTTCAGTCGAGATTGACTAATATTGGTTAGCGAAAATCACGTCGAGAAACCACTTTTTTGTTCGGTGAAGGTCACCGAAATCGAAATTAATTTCACAAATCCAAGGCGTCGTTTCCAAGTGACCCTTCTGATTGTTTATTCTTCTGTGTCAGTCAAGTGTCAAGTGTCAAAAATATTGAGTTAGAGTGTGTTCACAGATACAGATTAATCTGTGCTGGCGTTACGTTCTAGTTCTAGTAGATTAAGATTTGTGAAGAAATTCCGTTCTGTAACCACGATTTATTGAGAAGTTTGATTAGATACTTTTTCACTGAGTTTTTTTCGAGATCAATTCGAAGACGAATACTCAAAGTGTAGAAAATGGTGAGAAACTTGTACTTAATGACTCGGTTTGTCAAATTCCTATTTTATGGTTATGTTTTGAATTTGATGCAAGTCATTTTATTTTTAAGATGATTCAGTTTTATTTTTTTATAGGCTCGTCGATATGATACGAGAACGACAATCTTTTCACCAGAAGGTAGTTGGCTTATGATACTAACAAATTGTTTATTATTTATTTCTTTTTACTTTATAGGAAGACTTTATCAGGTGGAATATGCAATGGAAGCTATATCCCATGCTGGTACCTGTCTCGGTATTTTAGCTAATGATGGGATTTTATTAGCAGCAGAAAGACGCAATACAAATAAATTATTGGATGAGGTGTTTGCTTCTGAAAAAATATATAAACTGAATGAGTAAGTCAATTTTTCTAGATAGTCTGTAATGATGTACATGCAAATTTGTGCATATAACTCCAACAACCATTTATACAAGTTACTTTAAATAGATATATTAATTCATTCAGAGATGCATTTCAAGATGTATAGAAACCTGGGTATTGTTTGCAACATAAAATAAAGGAAGAGCTTGGAACATCCATTTAATTTTTTGAATGTTAACAGTGGTGTTGAAGGAGCATTGAAATAAGAGCCGGAATATTTGAAATGTATAGTTTCAAATTTTAAACTTGATCGGCAAGAATTTCTGTAAAAATGGAGTACAACAAATTATTTCACCTTTCAGCACTTATTGGCGTGAAGTTATCCACAGATTTCTGGCCACACATGCCGACGTAGAGGAAAATAAAAATCTGTGGTTGGGATACAAAATTATTAGCACCCGTACTAATATCTGTGGCTGGAACAACCTATAGTGAATAGGTATCTCCAGCCACAGATATTAGTACGGGTGCTAATAATTTTGTATCCCAACCACAGATTTTTATTTTCCTCTACGTCGGCATGTGTGGCCAGAAATCTGTGGATAACTTCACGCCAATTCAGCACTTTCACAGATACTTCTGGTTATCAAATTTCACATTATTGTGTAAGGAATACCAAAAAAATAAATGTTAAATTGATTTATTTTCTTAGTCATACAAATACATATAAGTCAACAATATATTTTGAAAGAAAACCATAAAATTAAATTAGAAACTATTAATTCAATGAAAGAAAAAGCTGCAGTTGGAAAAACATATTATAATTATAAAAGAAGTAACTATCACAAAACATTACAAAGATATAATATCAACAAAGCTAGCACAATAGTAAATCTGCCAAGGTTATCCTATATTAGTTTATTATCAATTAATATAAAGTTCATTATCATTTTAAATCAGCACATATGTGGTATTTTCTCCCAAAGTAAATCACAAGCTCTTTGTGAAAGCATTTGATTAATATTTCATGAACTGTTAAGAGGACAAAACTAATACAGCAAACCACTCAAAACATAATTTGTTCAATTAATTCATTTTGGATGAGTACTATAACAATACTTACTTCCAAATTGAGCAGTGGCAACTCTTTCATTCATATAATGTAACAGTAATCAACTTACAATTGTTTTTACTAAAACTGATGTGAATTTTGCAACCCATAAGTGAAAAGCTTATCTGTGAGTAGAACTCTTAGTTTTTTTAAAACACAGTTTACGAATTGGGTAACACAAAAGGAAAAAGCGGCCTGTATCAGTCATTTATAATTATGAGATTATTTTTTTGCCTCTCCTATAAGATCCACATTGGTAACTGTATTATTGTAAAATTGAAAATTTTGCTTGCTATCGCCACCTTCCAAAACCTTTAGAAGTTACAAATCTTGAGATTGAAGAACATCAGGCATGACATATAGGTTTTTATTTCATGCTTTGAGAAGTCATAAAATAATCTATTTGAGAGAATAATGACTACATATTTTAGATTTTCAAGATGAACCGTTCTCTCAATATGTTCAACAGCCAGGTGTTTTAGTTCAAGTATTAGCAAACAAAAACTGCAGTTAGTAAGAACACAGTTCAGATAATTAAAAAAACATGGGTAACAAGTAAGTTAATTTAATGCACTGTTTGCGAAGTTATAAAGAAATTAATCAGCTATCAAATATGATGAAAAAAGATATTAAAAAAATTCAAGCTTGGTGTAACACAAACTCCTTGTGCTTCAACGTAAACAAAACAAAACTAGTTACTTTCAAATGTATACTAGACAATTCAGATTTGGATAACCACTACGTAGAAAACAAATAGCACACTAAATTCCTAGGCATTCAGATAGACAATGAATTAAATTTTAAAGAACATGTACTCCATTTAAGTAAAAAAGTATCTGGTGGATGTTATGCTATTAGAGTGGCAGCTAGAATGGCTTACTTTGCATTGATTGAATCTCATATTCGCTATGGAATAGCTTTCTGGGGCCATTGTAATTTACAGTTACAGAATACGATATTTGTTCTACAGAAGAGGTCTTTGAGATACCATACAAGGTCTAAGCCAAGAGATCACTGCAAGCCTTTATTCATCAGCCATAAAATATTAACAGTCACCTGTTTATACATAATGGAAACAATATTCTTAATTCATAAAAATAAAACTAGCATGTGAGTATACTTCCCGAATAAATTGTCACAATTGTCAAAAGAGATATGACAATTGATCAATAAGTTGTCTTTTGTAAAAAAAAAAAAATTACAGAAAAACAGATCACTTTGCCTGCTGGGATAAATTCATAATTCTTCTTTAATATACCTATATAGCAATTCTGCTGTTTCGACAATTGAACAATACTTTTGTTTTTGATTGATCTTTATTTATAAACGATTGTCGAAAGAGATACGATTGGTCAATAGGTTGCTAATTGCAAAAAATATTTGACATGATTATAGGATTACAAAAATAGACGAAACAAAAAAATGTATCGATAATTTCCACCTAAATACATTACAAATTTATTTTACCTCTTTTCACTGGCGATCATTTTAAAAAATATATGAAGAAATCAAATACGGTGTTGCCATATGGTTCAAAATATCCATATAGTACAAGGTATGACACGAAAAACGCAATATTTTCCAAAAAAATACGTTTCAGGAAATTTTTGATATGGATTGGGTTCGACAAATACTAATAATGAAAGTTTTAATAACTCGGTTATATTAAAAATTTTACTACAGGTGCTGTGCTAACTTTATATCAAGTTAGCAGGGCTACCTCTAATAAAAATGCGCGACAATTATTTTTCTTTCATGACAAATTCTCGACAATTATTCGACAATTAAAAAAGTATATTTCAATAATTTTACTGCAAGTTGCCTTGCCAACTTTATGGAGGTGTTGCGAATTGAGAGTTTGTGTTCCTCGAATATAACTGATATTTGCCTCTTTGTTTGGTCGACGTTTCAGTTCAGTTTCAAGTTCAAACAAATATAATTCCAGGTAGTCATGAACTCTTTCTCCACTGCGCTACCTGCAGACAGAGCCAGGAAACGACTCCACAAGGCAAAGGTTAAGGTGTTTTCACCTGAACCTGGAGCATGTCATATGCACCTCTCTAGAATATTAATCATTATTTCAACTCCCACCCCGGAGTATGTGGGAGTGGAAAATCATCAAACATAAATCCTTCATCAGTGAAAGGTCTTGCTTGTGTGCTTGTGTATTAAGAAAATCATCAACCAAAAAATCCGCACTCCTCAGAAATGTTTGCTTCATAAATTCTTTATCAATCAAAGTTCTTCCATTTTCTGCCAAAAATTGTACAATTTTAAAACAGCATTCGGTCGCTTGATCTTTCCCTTGACTAATTTTTGTAAAGAATGTTGCCTGCTTTGTATACTGAACACATGCACTTCGGATTGTCTCCGTTTTATCAGCATTATCCTTAAACACCGATTCATGTCTTGTTTGAAAAATGTTTTGAACACTAGATGAGAATACTACGCTTTTCCAACATAATATGGCTCGATCTCTTTGCTGTACAAAATCATAATTACTTGTCCAAGAACTTTGAAAGGGCCCAACATCCGCTATAACACTAATGTCAATCGCGCACTTGTACGTTATAGTTTGATAAATAATGTTACGATTAACTATCCCAGGTGCCTCCAATAACAACACCTGGCACAATTTTTGTTACTAAACTTTTATTTCGGAACGTATCTTAATAATAGCTTTCACTGAGGATACACTACAAAAACACACTTTTGTCTATTTTCCACTATATTTCTTTATTGTTGACCGGTTTCGGCTATTATACCATTTTCAAAACATCCCCTAATTTCAAGTTTTGAAAATGGTATAATAGCCGAAACCGGTCAACAATAAAGAAATATAGTGGAAAATAGACAAAAGTGTGTTTTTGTAGTGTATCCTCAGTGAACATGAATTTCCACAAAATAAACAAGTCGTCAATCGCAGAAGTGAAATAATAGCTTTACTGAACTAAACTACTCCTATCATCTCCTCGCGCTTTTTTTTCCTAGAATAGTCGCGTCGCTGTCTCATCATTCTAGTCTAGCCATCACTTAATTCGGTCAAGCTGTAGTTGCCTGACTAGTCCATAAAGTATGATTCATTGCGTTGCTTCGTCCAGTAATCTTGGCTGATCCCTTCTTTATTTTTCGACACTACCCTTTTTTGAAATTTTGCACCGTTATCCAGCCTCACTTTGATTATTGTGGTAGGTTACTTTACCCCCTTGATTCGAATAAAATTTCACAACTACAAAAGCTGCAAAATCGCGGTATGAGAATAATAAGTATATCGTTTTACCAGCATTGCAGGGATGTTAGATTGTTTGCAGTTGGTATCAGTGAAAAACAGATTTAATAAATTATGATTTTTGTTTATAAGATATTACACAAGTTACTTCCCGATTATCGGGAATTAACTATGATTAACTCCCTAATTACACAGCTATAGTACTAGAGTAAATAATATGTTTTATCCCCCTAATTGGAAAATGGCAAACTCAATGAATTGTTATTCTATAAAGAACTTGATGAGTTCAATAAGCTACCACAAATCATCTAGGAAATACCATTTATGTACCTATTTAAAACGAGGATCAGTAAACATATTTAGTCACTATAAATCTCCAGAATGTATTTCAACATACTCAATACCGTTCACACAAATTTATATACTTTAACATTATTTTATTTTTAGTATTGGTATTTTAAAATATTGTTTTTACTGTAGAAACATTTTTGTATTACTATTTCATTTTGGGACATGTCCTACTAAATAAATGAAGTACTGTGTGGACAGGACCAGAAGAGTTCATCAACTCAGACCAGGAGATTTTGAACCCTGCATGGCTTTTTGCCAGTGGTTCCTAAAAAGTTTTAACCAAGTGCGTGATTTCTCCTTGAATTGTATTTGGACAGACAGCTTATGTGAGCAGCGCCGGCAT